GGCGGCTCCCCCGCTCCCCCTGCCGAAACCCCCCACGCGTACATCACCCAACAGAGGCCACGGCCGCTTTGTTACCCAGGCCGGGCAGGGCCGCAGGGGGACCTGCCCAGCCCACTGCCTCCGCCTGTGGCGCCGCGGGGCACACTCGGGCTCCACGTTCCGGCCCGGGCACCCGCCCCTCGGCCTCCCTGCTGAAGCAGCGGCCCCGACCTCTGAATCCCGGCGCCGGATCTGATCCGGCCTCATGCGGCGGCCTCCGTCCGGGCCCATCCAAACCGGGCCGCACAGGACCTGCCGCCTCCCTCATCCTCTGCCCAGCGACTACGGGCCGCAATCTCGGCCCGAGACGAGCGGGCCCTGCGACTCACCGAATTTAAGGCGAAGAGAAAAGAGCCAGAAATCCCGGAGGTGGCGGCAACTGCGGCGGTGTCTCCTCTGCGACCGGAACTAACGAGAGGAGGGGAGGAGGAGGGAAGAGGTGCCACCCCCGCCCGGGCCGGTCTCCTATCGCGAGATTTCTTCCTCTGGTGCTCTGCCCGCCCCTCCCTGATGGCGGCTTCGGGGCGTGGGGTGGGAAAGGAGGCAAAGGAAGCGAAGAGGGTTTTCAAAGATTCTTTATTCCTCTATTGGATTCCAGATTTCCCGGACACTTAGCGTAGACTAGCCCATCTTTCTTCCATCGCCGTGTCCTCCGGCCTCTTAGTTAGCACGTGGAGGGGTTAGGAGAACGAATATCCCCCACCACCCCTGCCGGTGTCGAGGAAGTTGGACACGTCCGGCCTGAGTCCCTTCCCCACCGAGACCCCCCACCCCCCACGCCCCAGTAGCGCCGGAAGTCGAAGCCCGAGGGCAGGGGGCGTCCGGGCCCTTCGTGGGCGGAGACCGAGTTGGCTAAGGGGTCCATACATGGTCTCTACTGCGGCTGTGCTTGGCAGCACTTGCTCAGGCTAAGTCCGAAGCGGGGCAACATTGCTCTGCGGTGCGGGCTGTGTGGGGTTGTGCACTGCCCCTCTTAGGAGCGAGGAAAATCCAGATAGGGGTCGGAAGGAAGTTCGGCCCTCCGACTGCGGCCGCCATCCTTGCAGTGGTCTAGGTAGTTCCGTCCTGAGTATGATGGTTGTGGGAACTTGGAGATCATCAGAATCCTCTGGAGGACTTGTTAAAACACCTTGCTGAGCTTCGCCTGAATTAGGTAGATCTGGTGTGGGACCCAAGAATGTGTATTTCTAACAAGTTCCCTGTGATGCTTGATGCTGCCAGTCTAGGGACCTCATGTGTGAATCGCTGAATAGAGGATGTATCATCAGAGAGCTGGGGGACTAAAAGTGCGAAAAGTACTGTGGATGTTATAAACCTGTACAAATAACGATGCACAGTGTCTCCAGGATCTAGCCTCATATTTTTATTCCGTTTGTACCTTAGTTGTTTGCCTCTCCATCTGCTTCCTTACTCTCCTACTACCAGAGAAACCCTAAAAACAGGGTTTGTCCCTAAAATCACCTTTCTTGGACCCTGCTTCTCCTCCGTATCAAACATTTGGTAAATTAGTTTGTTTTAGTTGATTTATTTTTCCTTAACAATCTGATCTTTGCCCCATGCTCCTCCCAATTTCATGGAAAATTCAGAGTTCTTTCCCAGAATTATTGCCAAATCCAGTGATTCTTTCAGTCTTGAGCATTTAGGGTGTTACCCATCTTAAAACTTCACTTCAACTCTCCTGGTTACCTCTGCATAGTCCTTTGTATTTGCTGGCTCATCTTTTTTTTTTTTTTTTAACATCTTTATTGGAGTATAATTGCTTTACAATGGCGTGTTAGTTTCTGCTTTTATAACAAAGTGAATCAGTTATACATATACATATATCCCCATATCTCCTCCCTCTTGGGTCTCCCTCCCACTCTCCCTATCCCACCCCTGTGGTCACAGAGCATCGAGCTGATCTCGCTGTGGTATGCGGCTGCTTCCCACTAGCTATCTGTTTTACATTTGGTAGTGTATACAAGTTCATGCCACTCTCTCACTTCGTCCCAGCTTACCCTTCCCCCTCCCCGTGTCCTCAAGTCCATCCTCTACGTCTGCGTCTTTATTCCTGTCCTGCCCCTAGGTTCTTCATAACCAATATTTTTTCTTAGATTTTTTTTCTTATATGTGTTAGCATACGGTATTTGTTTTTCTCTTTCTGACCTACTTGGCTCATCTTTTTTGTAGTCACACCTTATATCATCTTTCCTCAGATTTTCTTACGTGGAAGCGTCATACATTCTCAGGGATTTAACTCTTATCTCCATTTAAAAGAGTTCCAAATTTATCTATTGAACAAATATTTGTTGAGTCCAGGCTCTGTGCTCTTTGAGGTTGAGGGAACAGCAGTGGAAAGATCCTGAGGTGGGAGAAAAAAACCCGACCTGGAGGAACTGACAGGACTAGTGTGACTGGGGCTTGGTGGGAGATGAGAGAACTGTGTGGAGCAGAATGAAGTGGCAAGAGTCAGACCTCTAAGTCTAGCCCCATCCTTTTTCTCAAGCCCCCAATCCACCCTATCTGGTATCTCTCCTGGAATTCCAAACTAAACCCTTAATACTATTGATTACTCTTCCCCCAAAACTGCATTTCTCACTTCTGAAGTTCTTTTAAAGATATAATGTTTCACTAATAAAAATAATAGCTACTTTAATTTAGCAGGTATGTATCATGCATTCTTCTAAGCACTTTCCATATTAACCTCATTTAGTCCTCAAAACTACACTATGTTCTAGAAACTATTATTAGCCCCATTTTATGGGAAGACTGAGGCATAGAGAGGTCAAGTAACTTGCCCAAGTTTATTTAACTAGTAAGTAAAGAGCTTGACTGGAGCCCAAGCAGTCTGACTCCACCATTATAATATACTGCCTTGCCACCAAGATCTTATTTATTTACCCATTCAACAAATATTTATTGAACTAGAGACTTCTAGAGATACAGAATTCATAACTTAGACCTGTGTACTCACAAAGCTTATCTTCTATATTTGTCACCTTTCTTATTTCCATCCTCCTTTCCTGGTACTATCTTGATTTGGGCCTCTATTACCTCTAAATAACTGGGACTTATGCAATAACTTCCTAACTGTGCTATCTCTTTCTCCACACTTCCAGAGTAATTTTCCCAAATGCAGCCAGAATCATTTCTCTTCACAGTTTAAATACCTTGGTTTGTACTTGAGGCCACCTGAGGATAGCTCTGACCAATGTTTTCCACCACTATTTCCCATCACATTGGTGGTTCTTAACTTAGTACCATCCATTATGGGGTGTGTAGCAAGCAGTTCTTGACAAAAAACTTTATTAAAGTTAGCAAATTATTTTCTTTAAAAATTAAAGCAGATTGAAAGTCATCTATTATAAGATCATTATCATTCATTTGCATTCTGATGTATGTTCTTGGAAGTGAGAGAGGGAGTGGGGTTACTAGGAGTTGTATATGGCAAGCAGCCTATTTTATCTATGCTTTTGGGTGCACCCATAGGAGTAGGTGCAGTGGGCTGGCATGGGAAATGTTTATAAACTGGTATCATGGCAGAGAAAGCTCTTAAACAACTGAACTCTATGTTTTAGTCAGACTGGACATACTGTGTCTTCCCTCTTCTTGAGATGTCCTTCCCTCACTTTCTATTGTCAAAATCCTACTTATTGTTTCAAGCCGTATCTTAAATACTACCCTTTCCTGCAAGCCTTTCTTAGTCGTTACATCTGATGTGAACACATTCCTTTTTTGAACTTTGCACCTTGTACTTTCTTCTGATATTTGGTCTACTTTTGCATTTGCAATTGTCTTATCTTTTCTCTTAAACTGAAATTCTTGATGGCAATGGCAATTTCTCACTCATTTTAGTGCCGCCTCAATGTATGGCAAGCAACATGCTTTAATATGTATGGAATGAATTTGAAAAAGCCAGTACTTATATCACAATCATAGACTTGACTATGGAGGAGAAAGGGTGACAAGCAAGTTCAAGCTGGTTTACTTACAGGGATGCTGGAAGATAGACAATTAAAGGAGGATGTAGTCCCTGGCTATTTTTGTGATTTCACATGAGTCACTTAAGCTCTTTGTAAAATGTGAGTACCAAAGCTTTACATGATAGTTAAGACTCTTCTAACTCTCATATTTGGGGTTCCAGATCTCTTTGTATCCTCGTTATTGGTATCCTTGAACTGATTGGATTTCCTAGCAATATATTCTGCTCCTACTTGATAAATACTGTACTAGTGTAACTGATGACCTTAAGGAGAGGAGGGATAAATCAGATCTTTGAGGAAATGTCTCATAAGACAAGGTCCAGGGCTGCCTCAGATTGGCTTTTGTTTTGTTAGTGCTGTATAAAACTTTGTTATTCAGACTTTCAGTGCTCAGTTAAGAATTCTAAACTGGCTACACTTACAAACTCCAGCTGTAAATAATAAAGGTTTTGGTAAAATATTAGCAACACTCGAGACTGTCTTTTTTTTTTTTTAGTTAATTAATTAATTTATTTATGGCTACATTTGGTCTTCATTGCTGCGTGTGGGCTCTCTGTAGTCGCGGCGAGTGGGGGCTACTCTTCCTTGTGGTGCACTGGCTTCTCGTGTTGCAGAACGAGGGCTCTAGGTGCGCAGGCTTCAGTAGTTGTGGCTCACGGGCTCAGTAGTTGTGGCGCACGAGCTTAGTTGCTCTGTGGCATGTGGGATCTTCCCGGACCAGGGCTCGAACCCATGTCCCCTGCATTGGCAGGCAGATTCTTAACCCCTGAGCCACTAGGGAAGTCCTTGAGACGGTGTCTTATGATTAAAAGTATTTTGGAACTTTTATCATTGATAGGCCAGTTTGGCTTCCCTACTTTCAATTAAGATTTATTTCATGA